TACTCTAGATCTAATATATTAAATCTGGGGTGTGACCTGGGTTTCTGTATCTTCAAATGATGATGATGATGATGATGATGATGATGATGAAGAGGAGGAGGAGGAGGAGGAGGAGGAGGAGGAGGAGGAGGAGGAAGAGGAGGATAAAAATGCCCAGGTAATTCTGATATTCACCAGGGGTGAGAACAGCTCTTGTGGGGGCAGAGATTGAGTCATGCCCATCCGTTCATGTCCTTACTGATCCTTCAGTCTGAGCATTGGATCTCAGAAAGCCAAATTCCTCAGACTTAAACCCAGCATCAGGGAAAGACATTGGTTCTTGAGAGATGTTTCCCAGGTGCTGGAGTATGTATTAGTAATTTCCTCATTCTGGAAATTTCTACACCTGTGTTTCTTACTTTTCCTGCCCTTGTGAGAACTACAGGAAGGAAAGATTTACCTGGACTCCTGATTTAAGGGAATTGCGTTCATCATGATGGAGAAGGTGTGGTAGCATTCACAGCGGCTGGAGTGACTTCCGTCCCTGGCAGAGGGGTGGTAGACAATTTGCTCACATCTTGTTGGACGAGGACACAGAGAGTGTGTCTGGGGCTAGAAGAGAGACCAGGCCCTAGCACTCTTCTATGCCAACTAGTTAGATCCCCAAAGTTCCATGTTTTTCAGAACAGCCTCACTGCCGGGGGACCAGGGTGTGGCACATGGAGTATTGGGAGCATTTTGCACTCAAACTGTAACAAACATCTTTTTCATATTTTGCTGTGTGTGCCTCCATCTGAACCACAGGTACTATTTCTTGTTCCTTACATATATGAAGTTTTTAAACCTAGCTAAGCATATGTTTTCAGATAACTACTGTAAATACAACACAGTGTCTTTCACTGGCGTAGAAGGTGATCCTCCATTTAAGCAAATCAAGCCACTCTGTGAAAGTTCAGCTAAACTCACTGTCATTCCTTAAGCTTTCCAGCCCGAATTCGGCAGCATCGGGGTTAAGAATGGAAGTTGGTCGGGTGGGGACATGGTTCCGTGGGTAAAGTACTTGTCAGGAAGTATAAAGGCAGGGGTTTAGTCAGCGAGAGCACAGGTAAATGCCTGGTGAGTGTGGCAGCCCACCTATAATTCTTGTTCTCAGAGGGCGGAGGCAGGGCATTCCCAGAGAAAGCCGACCAGCTAGCCTGGCCTATGTTGGCAAGCTCTGTACTGCATTGAGAGACTCTGCCTAAATGAATAAGGTAGACAGTCACCATGGAGGACCCCTGTTGCTACATGCACACATACACACACGGGAACATGCGCACATCTGCACACACATCAGACACAGACACAGAAAAGAAAAAAAATAAAACAATCGATGGTAGCAGGTGTCAGGCCTAAGAGAAACAAGGTGTTAAATGGAGACTTCTCAAGAAGAAAGAGGATTAAAAGAGGAATCCATTTCTCCTGGTGTGGTGCAGAAATGTATTCCCTTTCAAACTCTGCCATGTCCACACTCCTCAGGGCCATCTGAGTGCTATCACAGTCTGCCTCTCACTGCCACAGACAGCATCTTCATTGTTGATGACTAAGCACAGCACTCGGTATTAGTAGCAGTTGGGGGGAAAATACAACTCAATGAAAGAACATTCCAGAAGCGAGGCCCAGAGACATGCTGGAAAACTGCCAGAAGGGAGAGGCAGTGAGTGGAACTACAAAGAATCTCCGTTGATAACACAAGCCTCTGAAGGCTGGAAGAGGGTAGAGGTGTCTGAGAAGTCAGGAAAGGATCCAGGAGGATGGATGTGGCCCAGGGTCCTGGACTTATCTGTTCCAAGGGTGAGACACACACACACACACACACACACACACACACACACACACACACACACACACACACACACACACACTTAGCTCCCTTTTCTGTTGTCCCCTGGTATTTCAGATGTTATTGCAATAGGTTTTTGGTAGTGCATCCTTACGTGTACACCTTTCCAGCTTGCTTCTCTGTTGTGATAAGCACTATGACCAAAAACAACTTGCAGCTTATTGTTCATCCTCGAGAGAAGCCATGGAAGGAGACTGGAACACCAACCGAAGCAGAGGCCATAGACGCTGCTTACTGGCTTGTTCAGCTGCCTTTCTTATGCAGCTTAAGCCCATGTGCCTAGGGATAGCACCACCCACAGTGGACTGGGCCCCTCCTACATCAATTAGCAAATAAGAAAATGCCTCACAGATGCAGCCACCAGCCAGTTTGATCTGGGCAACTCTTCAGTTGAGGTTCCCAGGTGACACTAAATTCGTGTCAGGTACATCCTGGTACCCCCCTATTTTTAGGGCAATGCCTTGCACCCCTAATGCATACTACAGAAATTTGTCAAATGATACCTTGAACATAACACTAGTCCAGAGAAGATGGCAAATTCACAGTGAACTCTTATAGCTTCCTCCACCCAAGTCTGTGCCTCCTGGTCCCCAGACTATAGTACTGTGTACGCTACAGTGAATTCACAAGTTCAGGACTTCCTAAGTGTATTCTGGGAAACCATAGTTGATGACTCTTGGCTAACATTGTCAACTATGATAATACAGGATTTTCTGCCTCAGTTGCCAAGAGCTAGGCTGGGTAGGGTCAGGTGGTGAGGGGTGGATACTATCTGGGTGGTTTAAGCCAGGTGATGTTATATCTTGTACTACATGTGTAAGGTGGAGACTTGCATGGGGCTGTTGAAAAATGACTAACTGGCACTTTACACACAGTGACAATAACATCACTTAGTGCTGATGGGTAGGACCGGGTGAGCGACGTTTCCTGTGGCCTCAAAGAACTGCTACAAAAGACTGGTCTGAACTAGTTGTAGTTAGTAATTGCCCATGAGGAAGAGTCAGGGTGGCTAGAGGAACATGTGGAGACATTCGAGGTCTCATTGGTTAGGCCTCATTACCAGTGGATACGTGGCGGGGTGGAGCAAGGAGCCAGATGAGATTCCTTAACAATGGCCGGAAGAGCAACATGGCTGATGTTTCCCTCTGCTCAACTGTATCGCTATTAAAGCATACTTTGGTCTTCAAGTCAGAGGTATTCGCTTTGTCTGACTCCTGAGGAAAAGAGAATGATGGTTCTCAGGCTGGAGTGAGCCAGCGGCTTTGCCCGAAGGGCCAGAGTCTGTTCAACGTCGACTCCAGAACCAGGCCCACTTCCCATCTAGGAAGTCCAAGGGGGTAGTCTCCAAGCAGGGGACATCTTGGCCCCAGAGGAGACTGGGCAACGGCAACGTCTGTGAAAAGGTTTGTCATCAGAGCAGAGGGGAGGGCTTGGCATCTGGAGGTCGAGATGTTGCCAAGCAAACATCCCACATTGCGCTGGACCACGCTCATCTCCGGCAAAGCAGTGTGTGGCCCAACAGAGAGGGCTGTAAAACCTGCTTGTGGAGTACCAAGGTGAGTGCATCCTCATGAGGGCCCTTGGGGAGGGTTGCTAGGAAGCAGGAACTTCCGGTGTTGTTTAGCACAGCTATATCGAGTCCCCTTTTCACCCTACTTCCTCCCTGTCCAAGGTTAGAACCTGTCTTTGACTTTCCCCTGCAGCCACACCTGGTAACCATCCTTCCTTCTTCAAACTCCAGACTCAAGCTAGCCCTGGCGGCAGAGGCCTATCACTCCAGCGATCCAGAAGGCTAAAACAAGAAGATCCAAAGTTCAAAGACCTACCTCAGAATGAGTTCAAGGACAGCCTGAGTAACCAAGGGAGAACTCTGTCTCAAAACAAAGGAGTGAAAAGAGAGCTGGAGACCCAGTTCTGCTTGCCTGGCTTGTATGATGCCCTGAGTTCAGGGCCCAGGACCAGGCACATTGTGACCCTAGCTCGACCTCCTTTCGTGGCCTTCTCAGGCGTCACTGACTTTCTACCTCATTGGAAGGAGAGCTCTTCAGGACAGGGGTCAGGGTCATCCCATTCGCCAGTGGGTCTGCAACACCACAGTGCCTGCTCTGTAGTGGTACCCAGTGATGGAATTTCATCTATCACGGACTGTGGGCACTCTTTCAGCCCCAGCACTACACTCAGTTTTAATCAGGCCAGACCACTCTGAAATTATGCTCTCACCACGACAGGCTTCCTTTTCGTTCATTGAACAACTATTGGGTGGCGGGGGTGGGTGGGAGGGTTGTAGTATGTTTTGCACTTTGCCACCCTTGAGAGTAAAAAAAGACAAAGGAAACCGCACCTCCTTAGAACTTATAGTCTAGCGAGATCACAGGCAATTGTCCACAAAGAAAGCTGTGCGTGGCATCCACCTCTTCGACAAGCCCGGTCAGGGGAAATAAAATAGAGAAATGTATACATCAAATTTTCAGAAAGGTAGACCTCTGGGAGGTAACTGGACACCAAGGGGCAAGTTGTTTAAGGTGTCATTTTCCTGCCCCTTTATAAACATCCACAAAGTCCGGATTTGCCCATTCTCTGTCGCTGCTGAGACTGTAAAACGGGGTATACTGTAGGTGCTCAATAAACATTTGAAAGGAAACAGTGAAGATTATGTGGTTAGCTGTCCAGGAGGCAGAAGTTAAAAAAAATCCTGCTAGTTCTAAGAAGGTGGAAAGACAGTGCTATGAACTTAAAGAATTGAAAGTAGGTTATTTGCAGGGGACAGGTTGAGGCTGGATGTGGTTCCAACCTCTTGTCTGTCCCCAAGCAAACCTAGGTTCTCCCTCCTCTAATAAGAGCCTGCTTCTAACTCTGCCAGAGCCTCACCCCCTTCCTTCCCACTCTCATCTCCTTCCCTTTCCCCCTTCTCATCTTCCTCTTGGAGGGGCGTCTAGACTGGGTGGGCACCCCCATTGCCCCAGCGAGGAGGAGGGTGGCTCCGGGCTGCAGCCCCGAAGGCAGGGTCTCCTCCCCTCAGCTCCTCTCCCAGGCAGGACACTGTCCCTTTAATAGACTCCCTCTGCCTGGCGCTCTGCGGCTGGGGAGTAAATTTTCTCCCTGTCATCAGGTCGCAGGGAGAAGAGGAGGAGTTTGTTAATGTTCAGTTTGTTCAGCGGGGATCGATGTTTGCTGGCATCGCCTTGCCCTGTCTTGTGTGTGTGTGTGTGTGTGTGTGTGTGTGTGTGTGTGTGTGTGTGCCTGTGTGTGTGTGAGAGAGAGAGAGCGCGTGTGAGTGTGTGTGTGTGTGTGTGTGTGGTGCCCGCGCGCGTATGTGTGTGTGGGGGGGGTGAGTGTGTGTGTGTGTGTGTGTGTGTGTGTGTGTGTGTAAGCGAGAGTGCGTGTGTGTGTGTGTGTGTGTGTGTGTGTGTGTGTGTGTGTGTGTGAGTGAATTCCAGATTTTCTGTCTTTCCCAAACCCGCTCCTGTCCCTCTCGCATATCACTCACAGACTGGGATCTGACAGCAGCGACAAACCTACAGTGAGTGATCTCTCCCCAGCGCGAATCCGCCATCAAGATCAGGGACGAGGAGGAGGAGGAAGAAGAGGAAGAGGAGGAGGAAGAGGAGGAGAAGGAGGAGGAGAAGGAGGAGGTGGAGGAAGAGGAGGAAGAGGAGGAGGAGGAGGAGGGAAATAGAAGGAAGAAGAAGAAAAAGAAGAAACCCACTGTCTTCCCAGGATTGTTTTCCCCCCTTATCTTTACGCGCGAGTGTGCGCGTGGCGCGTGTGCGCCCCTCGTCCCTACCATCTGAACCCCGTCTTGGATGTTTAATAAAGAAATCAAGTGTCTCACCAGTCACCAAAAAAAAACCAGCAAAAAGCAAAACCAAAAAAAGAGAGAAAAATCCAAAAGCAAAAACAAAAAGAGAGAGGGGGGAAAAAACCCAAACAAACAAACAAGGCAGAACCAACCTCCACTTGCAAGCAGCAGGCACAAACCGCCTATCTGCCACCCAGAGAGGGGGTCTCTGGCCCCGCGCTGGAGCGCTGGCAGGGGATCGTCAGGGGGACAGAGGCCGAGTGGACGTCCTAGGAGCCACAGAAAGACGAGCGAGACTGCGGCCCCCCGCGCGCGGCTCGGGGCTGGGGCGCCAGAAGTGAGACTGGAGCTGAGTAGAGAGATGCCAAGGAGGAAACAGGCAGGCACCCAAGCGGGCTGCAGGTAAGAGATGGCTCCGCTCCGGGTGCCCGGCCCCGAGCCCGGCGCACAGCGGCTCGCCCTGCGCACAGTGGCTCGCCCGCCCTCCTGGCCCCGGGGCTGGCAGGGACGCCACCCCCTGGCGCTTTCAAGAGGGTTAGCTTGCGGGTACCCTCTTCAACACCCCATCCTGATCTCCCCAATCCTCCCCTCTCCAGGCTGCCTCTGGGTGGTGGCAGGGAAGCTGTCCCACCAAACCTTCCTCGCTTCAACTTTTCCTCCCTCCACCCTCTACCCCACCCCTAACTTTTTCTTCCAGTCTGGCTTCTTGCCTCTGGAGCCAAAGTTGGATTGTGGATTTGGGGTGCAAGGAAGGGAGAGGACCCCCGCCCCCACTTCTCATCCCTCTGAGAGGTCAGTGCTGGCGGCTTCTGGCCTCCAGGGACAGAGTCATCGGTTGCTGGGGGCTCAGGGCTAGCAAGTGAGAGGGCGCTTCCAAGCCGGGTGCTGCATGCAGGCCTGGCTTTGGGGCTGTGAGCCATGAGGGTGTAGCTTTGGTCGCCAAGGTGCAAAAAGCACCCCCGGAAATGAGTGAAGCTTTGAATGTATTTTCTAAAAGGATTCACTGTTTATAGAAATCTAATCATCCCTTCTCCTTTTTTCAAAGGGGGGGCACCCCATAGAAATTTAAACAGCTTTGGATTTTCTTTGCCAGAGAGAACGTTGGAAACTTTTCCTCTAGATTGTCACCATAGGAACTGTCCCGTGGAATTCTTTCTTGCAGGGGACCCTCACCCTAAAGATCTGAACAGGTTAATAGATCCCTGCTTCAGATCTTCAGACCTTTTTTTTTTTTTCCTTTTGGGTTGCTTAATTGCTTTCTTAATAGTATGCTGGGGTTTTGTTTCTCGGAATTGTAAGAGGAAAGTTCATTTTTCTCCTTCCAGACCCACCCACTGAAAAATCAGCTTTCCACTCGATTGCTAGTTTTGATTTGACATTTGATTGATCACCTGTCATCTCCCTGCCTTTGATCTATTCATTCTGATATATATCAATAAATCACTCACCATGGTAACTCGGAGTGCCAGTGACGCAAGCTTTGCCCTCTATATTCAGAGAGAGACAGGCACAATCATTATCTTGTTGGCTTTTAATGTGGGCGTTTTTATTTCTTTGTGTCCTTTAGTTGATCAGGGCCTTAGCAAAAAGCTTAAGTTTTATCTGCGCCCCCTTCTCGCTGACTTTCCTTTCCCACTTTGCTTGACATGGGTAAGACTGACCAAGCGACCCACCCAATACATTTTATTCTGTTCCAACTTGAGTCAAACATGGGGAGAAGTTCCCAGGACACTTGAGCAAACTTTGCAAAGTCACCATGAGAAGAGGTCTGAACTGATTAGGAATCTGGGGAAAAATGGATATGTGTGTGTCTGAACATGCTGGCTACCAAGTTCATAATCCTTCATCACTGCCTGCTTCCAGCCCAAAGAACAATACATATGCTTCAGAATGTCCACTGTTTCCTTCCCTCTTGAGCGCAGAATCGCTTCCGTAGCCATGTGTAGGTTGCTTTGAGTTGCTATAAAGCTTCCATTCATGCATTTTCAATTGTTTTTATAAGAGCAAAATAATGAAAATAGCCTTAGCAACATATACATTTGCAACTTGTCTAGGCAGGGGGTGTTCTTTTCTCAACTCTGGCTACCTCTTTTGAAAACAATAGCTCTCTTATTTAATTTAATTTTATTTTTTAACTTACATTGCTTTGCTCTCTGGTCATGTGAGGGTGTGTGACGGCCTTTGAGACTTCAGAGGAGTCAGCCTGCTGCATCTAATGCTGGAAACATAAGTTCAAGTGTAGCTGGATTATCAAGAGATAACATCCTCATTGTTTGTTGTCCTGAAAGAGAGTCCTGGGCTATCGTCCAGCCAGAACGACACTGCCCTGAAAACTACTGTGTTGTTGTTTTTTTTTTCTCTCCCTTCCTGTAGTTCCGGTAAAGGCCATCAACAACTAGGCAGTAATTTAAATTACCAGAATGACTGGACATGTCTCCTTTCACAAGCTCATTACAAAAAGTGCCTTGCTCAGAATTGCTCTCCTTTAATTATAATTACCCACTGATCAATGACGATCCAGGTGTGCAGAAGATGACGCTGCTGTATCACATTATTTAAATTAGATCCTTGCACTATGCTGGGGTCTATTGGTGCCAGCTACTCTTTTTATTGTTGTTGTAGTAGTAGTTTGTGTGTGGTGTGTGTGTGTGTGTGTGTGTGTGTGTGTGTGTGTGTGTGTGTGTGTAGTAGAAACTTGTGACTGTACTTTCAGTTTTCTGGCCGATTGGATTCTCAGTGTCTTTGCAAGTCTGTCCCCATGATTCTCATTACGTTCCCTGGAAGAAGCAGAAATCCTTTTTGAGCTGAGAGGGGGTAATTCATTTCAAACACAGTGAGTTCCCCTGCTTCACAGTATTTATTTTTCATATATTAATAAGGTGGGTTGTTTTTTCTACGATGTTTCTTCTGCTCATCCGAGCTCACCAATGCCCCCACTCTGTTTTAGGATGAGCGAAACAAAGTTAGCGGAGGTCCTTCAGCCAGTTACCATGCAGGGAAGGGGGAAAGCGCCTCTCAGGTTCTGGCTATGCTAACTTTTTTATCACTGCTTAAAATTAAATACAATGCACAACTGCAAGTGATTACTCTTGTGGACTGATGTTGAAAGCTTGATTCCGCGTTTGATTAATGAATAATAGAAGATAGAAAAAGCCTGGGAGTGAATCAGGACCGAAGCTCTCCTGGAACTCTTTCTCCAAATAACTCTTCCAGGCTGTTAAATGTCTTTCTATGATTCGGTTTAAGGGTGATATTTCAAGAAATCGGTGGCTGAACTTCCTACCAAAGCAGGTATCTAGATAGAGCCCACAGGGTGGTATGCTAAGTGATGGAGAATGTTCATCTTCATTTCTTAGATTCCCCGCACTTCAGTGTGTGTAGTGGGGGATATATGAGGAAGGCGATTCTCTTTAAGAGAACGCCTAAGAGAGAAGATTTCTCTCAGAAATATTATTGGCCCTCACTTCCTGAAGCTTTGCTCTTCCACGGTGCTGGGACCTGAGGCCAGGAGAAAGTTTGCAAAGCAGCTTGAGCACCCAGAATCGTGTATGTATGTGTGGGTGTGCTCGGCTCACCCTCTAATGATCCGTCTAGTTCACCATTAAAATGCATCTGCTTTTACCTGAATCTTCAGGAATCTGCCTTGGCATCTTTCCCCCTTGTTCATTTTTAGGGAAGACAAAAAAGACGATGGCAGAAAAGCTGCACAAAAAGAAACTGTCTTTATGCCTTTGCACTTTATGGGACACAGAGCGCTTGGGGTTTTGTTTGTTTTTTTTTTTTTAAATTGTAGACTCGTTCTCAAGTGTTTCTTTTCTAACAACCTTGCCCGTGTGGTCCGCATACACGCATAGTAGAGATTTTATTTCAGCACTCTATACTGTTATTTTTATAGTAATGCCCGCCAGTTGCAATGGGGTATGGAATCTTGTGTAATCATGTCTCTGTGAATATATAACATGCCCATAAGTTATATCTCCCTGCCTCTGCTCACCTCAAGCCATTCTGTGCTTCTTTCTTGCAGGCTAATGGTAGCTTCTGATGATCCAGTTTTTTTTGTGTGTGGGGAGTCTGGCATCAGAGAGCAACTCCCTCAATTTATTTTGTTTATTGAATGCGGAGATGAATAATGCAGATTTTGTTTTCATGGGTGTCCTTGTGTAGCAGTAAACATTAGACTATTAGCAATCATTACTTAAAAGTTGCAATTTGCACCTTAATGGCACAGGTTATTTACATGGGAAACACATTCAGCAGGGGCAGTTCTGAGCACTTCAGGGGAGTGCGAATGGCCCAGAGATCTCTGTTTCTACTTCTGGATAGTCCTGTCTCTGAATTAATGGGTGAAGTCCGAGAAATTCCAACTACCACATAGGAGCAGTGGCCGTAAGTGAAGTTTGCCTTTCATTTACTGGCAAGCAGGGTGAGACAGGAGAGAAAAAGGAACCCGGAATGTTTCTGACCCTGATTTTCTCTGTTTGCTTAGACATCCATCAGAAAAGCAAGTTCACATCTTAAACACTTAAATGTCCTATGCTGTAGATACATCTCCATGCTTCCCAAAACGGTAACGGTATGGTTTTAAGACAAGGACACACACACACACACACACACACACACACACACACACACACACACACACACACCAGCCCACAGGGCTTCAGCAACAGGAACTCTTAGCTATTCTTGTTATTTAAAGCAGATCTCAGACTAGAGAGGTCAGGTGCCTAGAAATGCCTTTGCCCTTGCAGTGTTTGGGGTTGGGATTGATTCTTTACGTGGTCCTTTCTCCAGTCCGCTCCTGCTCTCCTTCTCCTACCTCTCAGCTCACCCTTAAAGACCCAGATTGAATAGGACATTTCAAAAGTGCATTTGTTTTAGGCATTTATTGATTTCATTTTTAATCTGCCATATCAGGACATAATTTATTAGCCCTGCCCAGAAGATGGCAAGTGGCAGGACTCCGGGGCAGAAAGGGAAGGAGGGGACGCTGGGGAACTTTCGATAGTGAAATCACTGAGGCTTGTTGGCGAGGGGGGGGGTGTTAGATGCTTGAGGCTACGTTTGGGGAGGGTAAAAACATTTCTCAGAAATACTCTACTGTTCTTCCTCCTTCAATTTGTGTTTCTTGTTGCTCCCAACCAGCTCAGTTCTTTTTGCTGCCTTTGGGGAAACTTCACATCTAGGCATCTTTAGATTTGGCCCTCAAGTATCTTGACAGTTGTCACTTTCTCCAGGAGTGGAACAGGCCTTATCTCACCCCTGCTGACTTCCCATTGGGGAGTGGATTTGGGGGGGGACACTTTCCAACTGGATAGTGCCAAGTTTGTCTGGGTTGGTCTGCTTCTCTTGCTAAGGCTTGGGAATGGAGCTCTGCTGAGTAGGTCTTAGAGGGAGACTTG